AACAGTGATCACCAGAAACTGCTCAGAGGTCCAGAATAATGAGAATTTGTTTAGAACACCTAAATTTTGGCTAGTCAAGTACTTAACTCAAGACTAATAGAGATAATACCTGAGACTTTTAATTCTACATTCCCTTGTAAGGGTGTTAATTATCAGTAAATGCAGAATAACTACACAGATACTGCCTTTCTCCAAAATTGGTCACCAGTTTGAAGAAGACCTCTGTTGTGATAGGAATTTTATTTATTCAGTGAATATTTATTAAGTACCTGCCATGTGCCAGGCACTGTCTTAAGTAAAAAGTTACTGATGATGTAACAGACAGGATTATTGCCCTCTTGGAGTTTACATTGTACTGCTATATGTAGAATGTTTAAAAAGTAGGTGTGGTTTGAGTAGAGACAGAAGAATTCTCTTTTCTTCCTGCTTCTGAATGTGTCCACCATTTCTGAGCCCATGAGAAAGGCATAGCTTCTGTGAGGGAATATATGGAGTGAGGACATCTATCAGCGACTCTTAATGTGTGTTTCAGAGGTTAGGGTGGTTTATAAGGAAGCTTGGAAAGCAGGCAGCAGAGGTTAGATTTGATAGCTAAAGAATGAGAATCCATGATAAGTTCTTCAGTACTAGAGACATGATTTATGCTACATTTTAGAAAGATTAGTAAGGTGGTGGTAGGTAAAACTCAGTTAAAAAGAGGTAAGCGAAATCAGAAACCAGCTGTAGCAGTGCTGCAGACATCAAGTGAGAGTGATAATAAGGATGGAGAAAAAAGGGCAGATGGAAATGTTTTATAGGAAGTGTATAAGCAAGGGAAAACTAAAAGATTATCTTAAGATTTCTAGCTTGAGAAGTCGATAAGATAGAGAAATTGGAGCAAGGAAATAGTTAAGGAGAAAATTCCATTTAGGATTGTAAGTGTATGTTTAGTTTCCAATATGTGATATCTTTGGAAGATAGTTGCCAAATATTTTTACAAGTAAGTTCAAAGAAAAGCAAGCCTCTGAAGGCCATTTAAAAGCTAAAAGGTTTTGGGAGGCCGTGGTGGGCAGATCACCTAAGGTTGGGAGTTTGAGACCAGCCTGACCAACATGGAGAAACCCTGTCTGTAGTAAAAATACAAAATTAGCTGGGCATGGTGGCGCATGCCTGTAATCCCAGCTACTCGGGAGGCTGAGGCGGAAGAATCGCTTGAACCCAGGAGGCGGAGGTTGGGGTGAGCCGAGATCGCACCATTGCACTCCAGCCTGGGCTGTTAACAAGAGCAAAACTCCGTCTCCAAAAAAAAAAAATACTAAAGGTGCTATTAAGCTGCCCCTGACAGTCCTGTGCACCTAGTAGACTCTCAGGAAAACCCATTGACAGTGATGGAGAAAACAAATTGTGTAGCATGTATTGTTTGAGCAACTCTGATGCCAGCAAAAGTAGCTGAAACGTTTTGTACTTAATGTATTTAGGAACTGAGGTTGTTTTGGGTAATGTTACTGAGACTAGCCAAGGTACCAGCCGACATTAATATACTAATTATATCCTACCCTATTCTGCAAATAGTTATTACCACTTACATTGATTGCTTATGTAAAGAAATATATTTAATAAGGTGAAAGGAGGGCTGTATCATAAAAAGAAATACAATTTAAAGCCACTGAGGGGAAGATCTTAGATTTCTCATTGAAGAAATTAATTGCTGATTCAACCAAGAAATTTGGTAGAAAAGGGAAAATAAGCAGTTTTACTAATAGAAATAGGACATTTAATAAGATAAATAGAAATATCTATAACATTCTTCTCTAGTGACAGAAATTGAGGCAGCTTATAGTAAAACATACAGAAAGTTTGCAGTTTGAAATTTAAAAAGATAAACAGATATCTAAAGTTATACAAGGGATAAGGAATTATGTTTACAGTTGAAGATGTTTACTGTTGCTGAACATTTATTTGAAGACTGAGCTTTTTTTTATGGGGTTTGAATGTATAGGAAGTGTAATGAACGTGGTAATATAAAAATTCTCAAGAATAGGAACTTAGGCAACATAAAAATTTATCAATGTATTTCACAGATAAAGATTGGGAAGATATAAAAAAGATGCCTGAACATTCAACATTAATGAAAGATTTCAGAAGAAATACGTAAGTTGAAAAAAAAAAAAAAGACCCCTTGTCGATTTTTGCTTTACCAGAATACTCAGTATAAGACTGAATATTCATCATAATAAAATAAGATTATGCTAATAAATAATTTTACTTATTTACTCTAATAAATATTTTTCATGATGACAGTCTTTATTTCTTAAGATGCTTAAATGATTATATACAAAAGCAACTAATATTAGCAGCTGATTTGGATATAAAACAAATTCATTTCTTTCCATATTTACTACTTTTTGGAAGCTAGACATTCGAAGTATCACAGCTGAATGAATAAGAGTCTAAATAAATACACTTTGCTAATAGCCACTTGCTTACCAATCTAGGTTACAGTAATTTTAAACAATTTTTAATAGCGAAGAATGAATATTTCACCTGTTTACAATGCAAAATCAGGGATTGGGAGAGTTTCGTTTATATACCTATGACAAAAGTATTTTACACTTATTGGTAAGGCTGAATTAAACTTTTGACCCAGATGTTGTTTAAAATAATTGTTAAAGTGTAATTCATATTAAGAAAAAGCTGTTTAGTGTCGGTTATTCATGAAATCGTCTTACATTTAATCATTGGTATCCTTTCAAAAGTGACCATTGTGGATATTGAATGAAATATTAAACTGATTTAATTCTACTCCTTTTATGCTCGTACTCTTCAGTATATATTGTATATCAGTTATGATCAAAATAATTCTTATCAGAAGAACTTTAGCCAATGTAAAGTTAACCTCAAGTCTAATATAGCTATTTCATAGTATTTCTCTTTCAGGTATACCAACTGCAGCCTTATCAAGTATATGGAAAAACATAAAGTTAAACCAGATAGTAAAGCATTCCACTTGGTAAGCTTTAGATAAACAGTATTAAGGAAATGCATTTTTTCCTTAATTGACTCGCCCAACTGAGGCTTTTTTGGATCAGTTTATATGGTTACTTAGCTAGCACGCAGAGTGCTTTCATGGTAAATGCAGAGAGCTTGTTAGTGCATACCAATAAAGACAATAAAATATTTGCTTTTCCAGACTCATCTCATGGTTTGACAGACTAACGTTTGGTCACGTTAGATTTTCTAAAGATAGTGATGGGAACAAATCTATCAAAACATTTATAAAATTACGTGTATTGTTTTTCATCTGTTACTTTAAAATTTTAAAAGTTTCAGAGAAGTATCAAGAAGAAAATACTTCTCACCATTGATAGTTTTGTATTTCAGCTCTTTGAAAGACTGTTTACAAAGTTCTTAACTTCCAAAATACCTCTTATAACCTTAAATGTTAACAGTCCTTCAGCAATTATATGTGCCATTTGATTTTTCTGGAAGAATGTGATAGATGCCATATTTATCAGTGTGTAATGGAAAAATGATTTAACCTAGAATCTAATTATATCCGTGCACTAACAAGGTAATTTGTGATGAAATTATATTCAGCCATTACCAACTTTGTGTACAATAAAGTTTCCATTTTTACAGCATAATAATTAAAAATGTTTTTCAGTCTTATGTTTTCAGAAAAGGTTTATAACACATAAAAGGGGAGTTTGGGGAAGCAGGTTGTATTTTGCTTGACTTGAAATTCTTTTAATCCTTATTCCTAAGTTCTTAAATGAGAATTCTTTCACCTTGAAGAGGTTAAACTTTCCTTTATTGCAACCAGGCCACTTGGCAAATATTTCTTCTGTTCTACTTTTGTTTCTCCTTTTTCTTCTCTTTCTACTGCTGCTCCTTCTGTATTTTCTACTTACTATTATATCAGTTCACATTTTATATCATATATTTCATATCTTAACAGCAATTTAAAAAGTCATCCTTAACCTGTCATATTAGCACACAATATATTATCCAAATAATGGTTTATTATAATGTACTTACAGTAGGACCCAAATTAGAGGTTTAAGTTAGATCCTTCAAAATTATGGACTTACTGATTCTAATAAAATAATGATAGTGGCAGAAGATTAGAAGTCATGACTTAGGGGAATTCTTCTTCTTCTTGATTCCCTGCTACTCATTATAGTCTAAGATGACTCTGCCTACCATCACCACTAAAACTCTAGAGATATACCTTCCTTGTAGCTTATGTGCTTGTTTTTACGAGGGTTACCCATCTTAATTGGAGGTAATCTTGAGTAGTCCCCTAGGAAAGCCCTGTTATAATTCCATTAAAACTGTCGGGTATTTTAAATAGCAAATTCAGGCCTTTCCTTTCAACCCTAAAAATAAAATTGTGCTTTCTCTGAAATATCAGATCATCAAAATTAAATTTTAATTTCACCATTCTAGCATTTTATTTGCATCTTAAAATATGTTGTATCAGCTGGGTGCGGTGGCTCACGCCTGTAATCCCAGCACTTTGGGAGGCCAGGGTGGGTGGATCACAAGGTCAGGAGATCGAGACCATCCTGGCCAACATGGTGAAACTCCTAAAAATGCAAAAAGTACCTGGGTGTGGTGGCATGTGCCTGTAGTCCCAGCTACTCGGGAGGCTGAGACAGGAGAATCGCTTGAACCCAGGAGGTGGAGGTTGCAGTGAGCCTAGATTGTGCTACTGCACTCTAGCCTGGCGACAAAGCAAGACTCTCAAAAAAAAAAGTGTCTTTTTATCCTCTAAAATTTGTCATCTTTAAGTCTTTTTTGTTGTTGTTGTTGAAACACAGTTTCATTCTGTCACCAGGCTGGAGTGCAGTGGCATGATCTTGGCTCACTGCAACCTCTGCCTCCCAGGTTCAAGCAATTCTCCTGCCTCAGCCTCCCAAGTAGCTGGGATTACAGGCGCCTGCCACCACACCCAGCTAATTTTTATATTATTAGTAGAGATGGGGTTTCACCATGTTGACCAGGCTGGTCTTGAACTCTGGACCTCAGGTGATCCGCCCACCTTGACCTCCCAAAGTTCTGGGATTACATGTGTGAGCCACCACGCCTGGCCTCTCTTTTAAGTCTTAATGTGTCTGTTGGTTCCTTGGTTTTCAAAGTGCAGTCTCAGTCCAGCAGCGTAGCATCATGTAGGGCCGTGTTGGAAATGCAGGCTTTTGGCTCCTACTCACATCTACCAATCAGAAGCTCTGTGAGGAGGGCCCAGCAGTCTATTTTAAGAAGTTCTCCAGGTGATTCTGATGCATCGTAAAGTCTGAAAGCCACTGCATTAGATCAGAGTATAAACGAAGAGACCACATATTAGAATCCAGTTGAATGAACTATGTTTTAACTAAAAAATACTGAATCTTCACGTTAGCGTGGCATTTATAGCAGCAATAACAACAGCAAGCACTTACATAGTACTTTCTTTATGCTAGGCACCATTATAATTGCTCTCCATATATGAACTCATTTAATCCTGAAAACAGCCTGTGGTAATAGGCACTATTTTTAATCTTCATTTGACAAATGAAGTAACAAAAATATTAAGTAACTTATCCAATGTCATGCAGCTGATAAATGTTGAGTCGAGATTTGAAGGGAGCAGTCGACTGTCAGAGTCTCACCATACAACTCTGTACTTTATAAGTTGTGTATCACCGTTTTTATTTAGACTAGAACAGCACCGCACAGTACAACTTTCTGTGATGATCCGCACGGCGCAGCAGCATAGCCACGAGCCACATTCGGCTCTTGAAATGTGCCTGGTGTAATGGGGAGATTGACTTTTTTATTTAATTCAGTTTTAATTAACAGATCTAAATATGAATCGCTACATGTGTTAGTGTATTATGTGTGTAACAGCAGCTTTTTTAATAGGAAAAGCAGAGAAAATACATGAAGTTTGGTCCTGTTCTAAATTGGATAAAGCAATTTAGATAATGGGAGGGGGTATCATTTGTTTAGTCAGAGAACATAAGCAAGAGTAAAACAAGTGAGATTATGATTACTGGAATGACTGAAGTGTGAATTACTACATTAAATTTAACAACTAGTTTTGTTGTTAATTTGGGGGAATAAATATTTTCCAAATTGTGATGTTATTCACCAAAAAATATATATCCCCTTCATATATGTGCTGAAAGATAAATGTGAGAAGCAATATAGTCATCTTTTTATGATTTGTGATTTCAGCTTCAGAAGTTACTTACCATGGACCCAATAAAGCGAATTACCTCAGAACAGGCTATGCAGGATCCCTATTTCTTAGAAGACCCACTTCCTACATCAGAGTAAGTGGCCTAGTTAACTCACCAACTTGGAGTTTTTGGAGTATGCTTTCTTCTGGTTGTCAGCTCTAAGTTGCTCCTCCTTTTACATGGGAACCCAAGGAAATCCTTTATGATAAGCAGAAATGAGCTTTGTTGATTAGTGTCACTTGGGGCTTTCCGGGGAAGAGGCGTTCCCGTTCACCTCTGGCTTTATGAGATGCTGATTGTGTTAGTGTCAGCAGTGATCCAGCTATTCAGTGACAGGCTGGTTCTGCATGCTGTAGCTCCTTACTGTCTGCAGTTACAGTTTCATGTTCCAAAATTGCAAATATCATTCCCAAATGTGTTCCCTGTACCATCTTTTATTAATAAATGTGGTAGGAAGGGCAAAACAAAAATTGTCTTTGAATGGTGACACATGTTTCAGCTGGAATCTGTATTTTGGCTGGAGTGATAGAGGAGTAATGCTGGGATAAAAGAAGACAGCTGAATCATCCTCGATGATTATTGATCATTTGTATGCAGCTCGAGTCCTCGAGTAGCCTGCTGTAATATTACTAGTTACAAAGAAAAGATTCGTTTTGTCACAGTTGCATGAAAGGTGCTTATATTTGCAAATACGGAGACAAAGTTCATCTTAAAAAGATTAAAATGAGAATTTCCTAAATGAAGCATTTGGAATATTGATTAGTGTACCAGAAATGGTTTTTCTCTTTTTCTTATGATCAGCGTTTTTGCCGGTTGTCAAATCCCTTACCCAAAACGAGAATTTTTAACGGAAGAAGAACCTGATGACAAAGGAGACAAAGTAAGTATTAAAGTACTGTTGGCAGCTTCTTGTTTCGTGAATGCCTCCATAACGTTTTCCGTTGTGGGTGTATTTTGTTCTCCCTCTGAGCTGAACTTTTTCTGTTGAACCAATTGAGAAGAACCAGCAGCAGCAGCAGGGCAATAACCACACGAATGGAACTGGCCACCCAGGGAATCAAGACAGCAGTCACACACAGGGACCCCCATTGAAGAAAGTGAGAGTTGTTCCTCCTACCACTACCTCAGGTGGACTTATCATGACCTCAGACTATCAGGTATTCCAAGTTCATTTTTGCATGTCAGCGATTACATATGGGTTTATGATTGTGGGAAAATGTGATTTGAGAAATACTGGTCTGTATACCCAGGGAAATACATCAACATGAAATGTTATTGGCATGGAAAAGTCCTGACAGTGGTATGGTAGCAAGGGGTTAGACTTTTGAACCGGACTTGGAATGATCAAATACAGATTATGCCATTTATTAACTGTGTGACCTTGGACAAGCAGGATAATATCTCCTGGCTTTTTTTAATCTGTTAAATGAAACTAGTAAAACCTAACTTGCAGCTGTTGTCAGATTAGACATGAAGTGTCTTGACACCTGGCTTATGGTAGGAGCTTGATATCTATTGTTGGGGAACAATATTCCACAGTGACTAAGAACATAGGCTTTCAGACCCAGTCTGGTCATTTCTCCGGATCCTTGAGTAAGTGATTCAGATGTTCTCAATTTCCGCTTGAGACTATGGATAATGATCAATGTGAAGCTCTAGTAAGGATTAAATGAGATAATTCTGGGAGGTTAAGTGTTGTAGCTATTTCAGGAAACTGAGGCTTGTAGAGGTTAAATAACTTTCCCATGGATCCCCAGCAAGCCAGCTGTAGATGCAGGACTCATACTTTGATCTGACCACAAAGGCTGTTTGTTATGTTGCCGACTTAGGGATCCTATCATGGCATTGTCAGTTACGTTGTGGAAAGACCTTCTTTGAATGTTGTATACCACCTCCTCTTCTCTTCTGCTTATTCTAACCAATTCCCAACTACACTAGGTTTCAGTGTGGGAAGGATACTGAAAATTTGACCAATTAGAATTATTTACACACACACACAAGAGAAAGAGATGTTATTAAACTGATAAGGTCCAGAGTGCTCGTTACTGTACTTTCAGAATTAACTCTTTCCTTTGGTTAGGGGAGAAGTCCAGCCCATCACACCATGGAAATCATTGCTGTTATGAGTTGTAATTCTCTTCCAGTTAGCTAAACAAGGACACCAGGGGCAGACAGCTGTGGGAGTTGTTGGTTCCAGTATCCTTTTCTCCCTTTCCAGATGGGAAGAGTGCGTCTCTCTTGGCTCACGAATGTGTTTGCACACTAAGGTGATGGCGTCCTTAGAATGAAGCAGAGCAGTGCTCTGACCTTGGCTTCTGGAGCCGAGAAAGTGACGCCGTGCTGCTTTGTTGGATTGCTGTGGTTGTTTTTTGTGGATGATTTTTAAAATAGTATTTCTCACTATAATTGCATGTGTCCACTCTTTTTAAAAATGTTACCTTCGCTAGGATTGGCAGAATTTGGAATTATATGACTTATTACTTCTCTCTTTGAAAGCATATTTAATAAGTTTTGGTAGCTGCAGTGCAGCGGTGCGATCGTGTTTCACTGCAAGCTCCGCCTCCCAGGTTCACGCCATTCTCCTGACTCAGGCTTCCCAGCAGCTGGGACTACAGGCGCCCGCCACCACACCTGGCTCATTTTTTGTATTTTTAGTAGAGACGGGGTTTCACTGTGTTAGCCAGGATGGTCTCAATCTCATGACCTTGTGATCCACCCGCCTCGGCCTCCCAAAGTGCTGGGATTACAGGCGTGAACCACGGCGCCCGGCCCAGTTTTGGTTAATCTTATAGTGTTTGTCTTGGGAGCAAATAGTATGAGAGAGAGGTGTGAGAATGGGAATAATCTAACAGATCAAAATTAGAGAACCCCAAACCATCACATTCTGTTTGTGCCATTTTAGAATTGAGAATACCATCCTTCTTAAATGTCTGTGGTTATATTTTTACTTTTGTATATAAACTTGTAGCAGAAAATAAGATTCAGTAGTTTAAATGGGCCAGGCACCGTGACTCCTGCCCGTAATCCCAGTGATTTAGAAGGCTGAGGGGGAGGATCACTTGAGGCCAGGAGTTTGAAATTAATGTGGGCAACATAGCCTGACCCTGTTCCTACAAAAAAATTTGAAAAAATGAGCTGAGCATGGAGGTGCATACCTGTAATTCTAGCAATGATTATACCATTACACTCCAGCCTGGGTGATAGAGTGGCACCTGTCTCAAAAGAAAAAAAAGTAGTTTAAAGAGCATAAAAATGTATTAATGCCAAAGAAATGGATTCTGTGATACCTTCTCCTATCATATTCATTTTTATTCTTTAGTCATGTGTGTTGGGGGGAGTTTTCTACTGAAGAAAGCGTATAAATAAGCTTTAAATTATTTATGTATACATCAAGTTCCCATGTAAACATCTCAAGCAAATTTACCAAGTAGATACAAAACAGCATAAAAAGGGGTTACTCCTATAGAAAAAAAGTATTTGCACAGCATAGTAATAAACCTAGGCCTAATATTATTTACTAGCAATATTTCTGACCTTCCTCAAGAGAAGAGGATGTTAAAATATTTGGGGCTTTTGTCTGTCATTATGAAGTTAGTACGCAGCACAAAACCTATACATCCTTTCTTCCTTGAAACATATTGACTCTTCAGTCACATATAAGTTTTGCTGCTTGGGATTGACTTTCCCCTAGAAGCACCTGAATCACATTTCTCCCTCATCTCCTCTCCAGCGTTCCAATCCACATGCTGCCTATCCCAACCCTGGACCAAGCACATCACAGCCGCAGAGCAGCATGGGATACTCAGCTACCTCCCAGCAGCCTCCACAGTACTCACATCAGACACATCGGTACTGAGCTGCATCGGAATCTTGTCCATGCACTGTTGCGAATGCTGCAGGGCTGACTGTGCAGCTCTCCGCGGGAACCTGGTATGGGCCATGAGAATGTACTGTACAACCACATCTTCAAAATGTCCAGTAGCCAAGTTCCACCACTTTTCACACAGATTGGGGTAGTGGCTTCCAAGTTGTACCTATTTTGGAGTTAGACTTGAAAAGAAAGTGCTAGCACAGTTTGTGTTGTGGATTTGCTACTTCCATAGTTTACTTGACATGGTTCAGACTGACCAATGCATTTTTTTCAGTGACAGTCTGTAGCAGTTGAAGCTGTGAATGTGCTAGGGGCAAGCATTTGTCTTTGTATGTGGTGAATTTTTTCAGTGTAACAACATTATCTGACCAATAGTACACACACAGACACAAAGTTTAACTGGTACTTGAAACATACAGTATATGTTAACGAAATAACCAAGACTCAAAATGAGATTATTTTGGTACACCTTTCTTTTTAGTGTCTTATCAGTGGGCTGATTCATTTTCTACATTAATCAGTGTTTTCTGACCAAGAACATGGCTTGGATTTTTTTGAAAGTACAAAAAGCCACATAGTTTTTCCAGAAAGGTTTCAAAACTCCCAAAGATTAACTTCCAACTTCTAAGTTTGTTTTCATTTTCAATCTATGACTTGACTGGTATTAAAGCTGCTATTTGATAGTAATTAAATATGTTGTCATTGATATAAACCTGTTTGGTTCAGCAAACAAACTAAAATGATTGTCATAGACAGTGTTTTATTTTTCCTGTTGGTGTTGCTGATTTGTGAGCATGCTTTAAGATGAAAAAAGCATGAATGATAACTTCCTTAAAAAGGTGCGGCATCCAATTCAAATATTTTCGTCCTGATTTTAAAGCTGGTTGGTGTAGTGCTATTAAAATTTTGTTCAGTTCATTTTCCTTTTGAAAACTTGTTCGCACGTTGTTTAGGGTGCCCTTACTTCAGCAAAGGAGAAGGAGTAGGAGAGCCTTAGAATTTTTGAGGAAAAAAAAAACCTATAACATACAATGTACTGTATCAAACTATTTTACATGAATGACACAAGTATTCTGAATAAAAAATTGAACATTGTTAAAAACAAGGTGTTATGTAATAAATTTATTTTTCATAAATCAAAACGTGGAGTCAGCTGTATTTTTTATATGTACAAAGGGTTTTTGTTTTAATTTTAAAATGTGTGTTAACAGGTAGCCTCTGAAGAAATCTCTTCACTTTTCATTAACGTTATCTGGGTGTCTGTCTCCATAATGGAGTACTGACTTGAGTCTTAGATACGGATCCTTTTTCCTGTTACACTCGGTACCATAATGTAAGATATGAAACACAGACACCTTTCTAATTGGAAGATATTGTTGGTGAGCCTTCAGTTGCTGGAATAATTCCTATTCTGTGTTGTACTGAGAAGGATTTGACTGTTATATCCCTAATAATCCATTTTCCTCCTTTAGAAAATACAGAAGATTAGGGAAAAAACTAACATTTTTTTTCTTAAAAACCCAACTCAATGATATAAAAACATTCTAAAACAAAATAACTGAGGAATCTCTGTCCTTATAGGCCTGACAGTACAGTAGTGGTAATTTCTAGGAGCTGAATTCATGTTTCCATTTTAAGTCCTCCTGCCCCAACGCATTCTCAGGATGTGTGGATCTGGTTATGAGTTCACCTCGTGAGCCCTCGGGAGCTCCCTGCCTTCCATAGTTTGGTTTGGGTTTTCTTTTCTTTATTTTCTTTCTTTCTTCCTTTCCTTCCTTTCTTTCCTTTCCTTCCTTTCTCCCTCCCTCTCCCTTCCTCCCTCTCCCTTCCTCCCTCCCTCTCCCTCCCTCCCTCCCTTCCTTCCTCTCTCCCTTCCTCCCTCTCTCCCTTCCTTCCTTTCTTCCCTCCTTCCTTTTCTTCCTTCCTTTCTTCCTTCCTTTCTTTCTTCCTTTCTCCCTTCCTTTCTTCCTTTTTCTTTCTTCCTTCCTTCCTTCCTTCCTTCTTTCCTTCCTTCCTTCCTTTCTTTCGACAGTCTCACTCTGTTACCCAGGCTGGAGTGCAGTGGCGCGATATCCACTCACTGCATTCTCGGTCTCCCGGGTTCAAGAGATTCTCCTGCCTCAGCCTCCCAAGTATCGAGGATTACAGGTGCCCACCAACATGCCCGGCTAATTTTTGTATTTTTATTAGAGACGGTTTCACCATGTTGGCCAGACTTATCTCTAACGCCTGACGTCAAGTGATCTGCCTGTCTCGGCCTCCCAAAGTGCTGGGATTACAAGCATGAGCTACTGCACCCAGGTAAAATTTCTATAAATTTTACCTCTCACTGTGCCTTCTTATTTCCTGTCCATTCTCGTTGTTTTCTAATGTTTCTTTCTGCCGTTAAAGCTGAGGTTTTTCAAGCTTAGTGGAGAGGAGAATCCTCGGGAGTGTTTTTCTGCCCTTCAGTATCTAGTCCCAGAGGTTAGAGTTAGGATGGAATGTGAAAACTTCATTTTTAACAAGCTCTTGAGTTGGTTCTGATGCAGTGGTCTGAGGAATATATGTTTTAAAAAAACAGCCCTAGGGTCACTCACCTTCAGGCTGGTCTAAACACTGAGCAAACAGCAGCAAAGTGGCTTAGAGGGAGGGCTGCTCCACTGACATGAGTTTCCTATGTGAATTTCCAAAAGCGAAACCCATTCTAGAGCGGACCGTTCCACTCTTAATGGTCCAAGAGCCTGAAGGCTCAAGTCTCAGATGTTTGTTTCTCTCTGTCCCCATTCCCTGAGTGATCCTGCCCCATCTCCTCTCCTGTCATTGAACATGGAGGTGACCATTGAGTGCACGTCCAGCTGCCTTTCTCCCTGAGCACCAGGTTCCTGCATTTACTTGCATCTATGACGAGTACCATCCACATCCACGTGCCTGCCAGCATTCTCGATTCCCTCCCCGGCTTTATTTTTCTACATAACACTTAGACCTGACTGATGACATCTGCCTGCCAATTTTCTGTGTCTTCCCAGTGGAATGGAAGCTCCCCTCGGGTCCTGTTCCATCTCAGACCTGGCTTCTCCATCTACACGTGTGCCCTGGGTGCCGCCATCCAGGCTTGTGACTTTAATAGGAAGATAATTCCCAGACTTCTAATCCAGGCCTCCCTGTCCTGTCTGACTCCTTCCGACATACTCTCTAGACTGAATTTGTCCATGTCCAGAAAGGTGACTCCAGCCTCCAGCCACTGCCTCCTACAGACTCAACTAGCTAGAGGCGGCGGAAGGAGCACTTGAGCCCAGGGTGTGGGCACCCCCCACTTCTGGCTGTCCAGACCAGGTGGCAGCCTTGCCACCATCTCTCACACAGGACATCTGTGACATATGCACATCCTGCCAACTGTCCCTTGAAAACATATCCTGAGTTGCTCTGTCCTCACCACCCACACTGTACCGCCCTCTACCAAGGCACAGGCTTCTTACCAAGACTGTTCCAGTAACTTCCGCCCTTCTCCTGGTCTTCACACAGCATCCTGAGTGAGCCTTGGACATGGAGGTCACATCACTCTGCAGTCACGTCACTCCCCTGCTGTACCCAGGGGTCGCTAGTGACCCGGCCTCCCTTCCCTGGTTGGTCCCAGTCTCTGTCCCTCTCCTCCCGGTAGCTGCCCTCCCACTCCGCCACTCTCCTTGCTGACGCGCAAGCATGCCAAGCACGTTTGGCCTTAAGGCCTTCACACTTGCTGTTCTGTCTGCATCTGCCTCCAGTGCTCTCCCCAGCCAGCTTCTTGGCAACATTTTGGGGTCTGCTCAAGTCTCATCTTCAGAGAGGGCTGTCCCTCTCTGCTTTAAAAATCACAGCCTGAGGCCAGGCATGGTGGTTCATGCCTGTAATCCCAGCACTTTGGGAGGCTGAGGCAGGTGGATCACTTGAGGTCAGGAGTTCGAGACCAGCCTGGCCGACACGGTGAAACCCCGTCTCTGCTAAAAATATAAAAATTAGCCAGGCGTGGTGGCACACACCTGTAATCCCAGCTACTCGGGAGGCTGAGGTAGGAGGACTGCCTGAACCCGGGAGGTGGAGGTTGCAGTGAGCCAAGATGGTTGCTCCAGCCTGGGCAACAGAGGGAGACTCTGCCTCGGAAAATAAAAAAATCACAGCCTGCCTGCCTCCCCACCCCAGCATTCTCCCTCCCTTGTACCTGCTTGGTTTTCCAGCACAGCACGGAGCATCGTTGAGGTATCTACTTGTTTACTGGTTTTTCTCTCCCACTAGAAAAGAAAGGGTGGAGGGAATTATTTATTTATAATCATCCCAGTGACTAGAAGAATGCCTTACAGCCACGCTCATCAAAGTGTGCTGAATGAAGCGATGACTTTCTATTGGATGTCAAATAGTATCTCGAACTGAACACATCCAAAAGAGAACTCTTATTTTTTTTTTTAAGAAAATATTGGGGTTTTGTTTGTTGTTGTTGTTTTTTTGTTGAGACAGGGTCTCACTCTGTCGCCCAGATTGAAGTGCAGGGTCGAGATCTCAGATCACCACAACCTCCACCTCCCAGGCTGAAGCAGTTCTCCTGCCTCAGCCTCCTGAGTAGCTGGGATTACAGGCGCGTGCCACGACGCCCGGCTAGTTTTTGTATTTTTAGTAGAGACTGGGTTTCACACCATGTTGGCCAGGCTGGTCTCAAACTCCTCACCTCAAATGATCCACCCACCTCGGCCTCCCAAAGTACTGGGATTACAGGCGTGAGCCACCGCGCCAGGCCTAGAAAGTGTTTTATCTCTACATCTAAGTTCAAGAACAGGAGCAATTGATGGTAGAATACTTTTTAAATATGGAAATTAGTTATGTTGACATTTTCCAAAATACTTGCAATCTGGTAATAGCCCCTACTTTATACTGACCTCCTTCACATTTATCAGTGCTCCTATTTGTATTTCTATCTATGTATATGTTCTTCTACCTTTATCTTTCAGCTTTGAAAAAAATTCCCAATGGCCAGGCACCATGACTCATGCCTGTAATCCCAGCACTTTGGGAAACTGAGGTGGGAGGATCACTTGAGCCCAGGAGTTCAAGACCAGCCTGGGCAACAGAGTGAGACCCTGTCTCAAACACACACACACACACACACACACAGAGACAGAGTGAGACCCTGTCTCACACACACACACACACAGACACACACACACACACCTCCAAGCACAGAGGCCATTTTCAGTGTTCTTCCCTAAAAAGCAAAAAATCTGGAAAATCATGATGCTAACCATAATCCAGATTTATTGCTTAACAAATAAATTCCTGATTCTCATTAACCTTGGGAAACACAAAAATTACTCTGACTTAAATAATGAGCATTTTAATATTAGTTGGTCTTTGTAGCAGAAAAAGAGATACTGGAGGTCTACTTTGTTTCTCAAACCCAGATACATCCCCCTTTTAAAATGACAACACATGGGACTGCCTCTTTTTTGTTTAACTTGCTGAAAACTAAATGCACGCAATGGGTTAGAATATATACTTTTTTGAAAGACTATGAATAAAATCACAGTTAACATTCTACAAAAATAGGACTCATTGATAAAAATTTAGGGCAATCAAAATATAAGACATGCTTATTATTGCTAGTAGTAGTAGTAGTAGTAGTAGTAGTAGTAGTAGTAATTTAGAGACAGGGTCTTGCTCTGTCACCCAGGCTGGAGTGCAATGGTGCAATCGTAGTTCACTGTAACCTCAAACTTCTGAGTTCAAGTGATCCTCTTGCCTCAGGTTCCTGAGTAGCTAGGACTACAGGTGCACACCACCACACCCAGCTAATTTTTTTAAAAATTATTTTTTGTAGAGATCGGGGTCTCACTGTGTTGCCCAGGCTGGTCTTGGACTCCTGGCCTTAAGCAGTACACCCGCCACAGCCTTCCAAAAGGCTGGGATTATAGGCATGTACACCCCACCCAGCAAGACATGCTAGTAATACCTTGGCAATGTGAAAGGATGAGTGGAAAACACTATGGTCAAGCTTATAACCTCGAATTGACAAGAGATTTGTGTAACAAATACCTCCTGAGGCTGAACAAAGTGATGGCCACTTCATGCATCGAGGCATAATTTCCAAAAGATGTGTCATGCTCTGGCTTGGTCACTTGATTGAATTCCATATGCAAATTAACGTATGCCATCATCAGTACAGAGAGGGCCTAATGGGTAGGCGTGCCATGAGAATCCAAAGGGTACCTGGAAATCAAGTGGAGGTAAGAGAGCTCTTTATATTCACCAGAGGTTGAGGTTTCAGAGATCAAACACTATCCGTGATTGATGCAGGGGGTTTTCGGGACGCTCCATAGTCTTAGAAAGGACGGAAGTTGTTCATTCTTTCATTCCATTTATTGCATACCTACACTGCCCTGGGCACTGTGGCTGCAACGGAGGACAGCGAGGGCTCGCTTCCTGTACTCATGCAGAGTGTATTTAGTGATAGATGATAAACAGTTAAGCAGTAGATAAGAATAACAATAATGTCACATTTTGATTAAAATCTTTGTAAAAAAGGCGGTGAGGTGAGCGACAACGTCTTTGAGGGCCAGTTTTAAGTAGCATCATCAGAAGTTTCCAAAGAAGTGATACGAAGTTGGTGCAAAAGGAATTGCAGTTTTTGTCATTGAAAGTAATGGCAAAACCGCAATTTCTTTTGCACCAACCTCACATTTGAGATGAGAAATATGAACAGAAATATGAAATATTTGAAATACCTGAAATTTGCACATAGCTTTGCACGCAAGAGCAACCAGTGTAAAGACCCGCTGCAGTGACGGGTGCGGGGTATTGGTGGAAACAAAGGGGAGCTCTGTGCCAGAAGAGAGTGGCTCCGAAGGTGCAGGTGAGAGAGGAGTTAGAGAAATAGGCAGGAGAGTATCCTGCGTTGTGGGCCGGTCGGCATGTGGGGGAGGTGGCCACTCACCGGCGGCGCCAGAACCCGTGGACGCTGCAGGTGCTTGACTCCCGCTGCTGAAGATGGCGTGATGCTGGAAGCCACAGGCTGCACACCTTCCCGGCCATGGAACTGAATGCACCAGCTGGCCCAGCCGCCTCCAAGCGGGAGAGACCTAACCCCTGCTCCCTGGCCTCCACCATCTCTCAATACGATCTCGCTTCCTACCTGGCCTCCCTGCCTCCCTACACATGCCGTTCTGTGGTCTCTTCCCCACACAACAGTGAACCTTTGTAAGAATGTCTTCATTTAAAAAAAAAAAAAGAAAAAAGAAAAAAAAAAAGGCCGGGCATGGTGGCTCACACCTGTAATCCCAGCACTTTGGGAGGCCGAGACAGGCGGATCACGAGGTCAGGAGATCGAGACCATCCGGGCTAACACGGTGAAACCCCGTCTCTACTAAAAAATACAAAAAATTAGCCGGACGTGGTGGCGGCGCCTGTAGTCCCAGCTTCTAGGGAGGCTGAGGCAGGAGAATGGCGTGAACCCGGGAGGCGGAGCTTACAGTGAGCCGAGATCCGGCCACTGCACTCCAGCCTGGGCGACAGAGCGAGACTCCGTTTCAAGAAAAAATAAAAATAAAAATAAAAATAAAAATAAAATAAAAATAAAAAGCAATATCTTAGGTGGCCTCCATCACACTTAGAATAAAGTTGGAATTTCTCAGCACTGCCTAAAACATTCCAATTTGGCAGCTCTCCCCATTCTCATTTCCCACCACTCCCCTGCCCAGTAACTCCACTCCAGTTACCACTGCATCCTGGCTCCTCCTCCAAAACGTCAGGCGCAGGCCTGTCTCCAGGCTTTTGCTTGTTGTGCCTTCTGCCCGGAATTCCCTCGCCCTGGATTCTGTCTGGCTTGCTCAGTTCATTTAGCTCTGCTCAAATGGCACCGCCTCAGAGAGCCCTCCCTCCCCACCCTTCCCTCAGCCACAGTGTGTCTGCTTTTCCTGCTTCCCTTTTCCTCAGAGCAATGCACTACCTAGCATTTTTATGCTTGTGTATTTTTTTGTTTGGGTATTTGTTTACTGTCTGTCTCTGGAAAGAGAACAGCAATGGGGGAAGGTTTCTTGGGGGAGGTGGGGATTGGTGTGAAGCATCAGAAAGAACACTGGGTTTGGAATCAGAATCCTAGCTCCTGGCCCTGTCTGTTACTTACTGTAAGATCTTAGTCAAGTCATTCAACTTTGCCAAGTATCTGTCAATAATAAGGATCATAACTGACTCTCACACTGAGTCACAGAAGTGCTGGAAGGTACTTTGTAAAATAAACTATAAATCACTATTCAAAGTTTCATAATTAACTTTTTTATCTCAGATAAACCCTAAAGTAACTGTGCCCGGCACCGTGCCAAGCATCTTACACATATTCTATTCTAGTGTTATTCACAAGAACTTTTTGAGTCGGGGATTATTTTCCCCATTTTTCAGATGAGGAAAATAAAGTTCAGAGAGGCTGTTCCCTGCTCAAATCCAGCTGCTGGTAAATCCAGATGTGAACCCAGGTCTTCAGCTTCCAGGCCCCAGAGAAAGTAATTAGCTGTGATGGTCATACTGGGTAAAGTGGCCACAGTTTCCAGATTGCAAAATGTCTCCTGGACAGCAACACTCAGAGATGAAATTAGTAAGCTTGGAGGCTGCCAGAGAGAGCTGTCTTATTTACAAGTAAGGTGATTTCTTAATTATGTTTTTCCATTTATACTACAAAGTATATAAATTTGTATTTTACTTGTTACTGACTCTGTTAAAAGCACACTTCAACAGTTCTAAGGGACTTTAAAATGGATGCTAATTCAGTAGTCCCCAAAATCAGCTTGACAAATATACAGTAATTGTTTTGCAGTTGAGTTTCTTCATTGGCAGAAAATATGCTAAAATAGACAACTAGCAATTTTCTCTGGTTTAGTATTAATCAAAGGTTTCCCCTGTGCCAAGTTCTACTGCATTCCTCTCGTGCACCCCTCCAAGTGCCCCTTTGTCTCCAGCCACTGCTACAGTGGCTAGTCCTACACAGGCTTCCACCAGGTTTGCGCAGGTGCTTTGCCTTGGGCCCACATCCAGCATGTGTCCCTTCCTGCCATAGAGCTTCTCTGATGCTTCAGTGTGGAATGTCCATAGGAATCTACTTTGAACTCAGGAATGCACAATCAGGATATGACAGGGAGCTAAAGCCCATACGGTTACCCTTGACCAATGGATTAAAGGAGTCAATGGGCAGATGCTTTGATTCTCAGAGCAGAACTGTTTAGAGATGCATTTCATAAAGCTTTTCAGAAGGTCCCGGCAGAATGGAGCACCCATTGTGCATTGGGGTGGCCAACTAAATAAAGCATCCTTGTACTTGTTTCCTTTCTTCCTTGTTCTCTCCCTTATCTCCTACTGCTGCTCCCTAAGATCACATTTGCAAGTAAATCACCTGCGTACAATCCTTTGTCTCATGTTCTGCTTACATGGTGGAATCCAGGCTAAGAAAATTTGTATTTAAGCGAGTCCTCAAAAATAGCAGTAAAGAACTTGTTGCTGGTGGGAAGTGAGATCCCAATTACCAGAGTTTTTCCTGTGTTCATTTGGGATGAGGTACAGGTGGAGGGGAAACATGATACAGATGCTGGGTGCTTGAGCAGTATGAAAACAATGATATTTAAAAGACTATGGAATTGGCTGGCTTTTGTTAACTTCTTCAAAAGACTTGAAAAAAAATAGATGACAAGCCTAGGTAAGCCAATTATCAACCTGAGGCATGCTTGAAAGTCAGAGGCCAAAATGGATGGTAGACCAGTGCAAACAATGTAAACTGCACCAAGTAATAGCTCCAATTACAGCTGCTGTGCCAGATGTGTTGTCTTTACTGAAACAGATCAACACAGCCCCTAGCGCTTTGTATGTGGCTTTTGATGTGGCAAACACATTATTCCCTTCTACAAGGAAAATCAAAAACATGTTTACATAGGAAGGACGAGAGTACGGCCTCTCTTTCACTCCCAGGCTATATTAACTCTCCTGCTCTTTGTTATAATATAGCCGGCAGGGGAGTGCTGCCGGAAAGATGGCAGAATTGGAAGCTATCAGGAGTCTATCTGTCCACCTGGACAACAATTGTACTGGTAGAAACAGTCTCACATAACCATTTTGGAACTCAGTTTATTTGAATACTCAAAGCTTCCAGGGAACAGCTTAACTGGTAAACTGCAGTTGATATCAGCTATCAGTGTGGTGGCAGGCAGCTGGAGAATGGCAACCCATATCTCTGGCACATCTTGCTGGAGCCATGACAGGCAATAATGACCTTATCCTTCAAATAGTGGCGTTCTGTGTTCTCACGGGAGTGCTGTTTGATCACTGATTAATGAGTAAAGAGTTTGGATCTCAATGTATGAATTCCTCCCAGCTGGAAGCAGCTTCCAGGAGATTTAAAGGAACTATACCTGTTTGTTTGTTTGTCTGTCTGTCTGTCTTTGGACATTCAAAAACAAGCATGTATATGGGGAAATTTAGAAAGCCAGTATGCATGCCTATGGAAAGATACAGGCTCAGAAAAGACATGAGAAGACATTAAGCTTTCACCTCAAGCTGATCCCTGACCCAAATACACCATACAACAATCAAAAAGGACAGCAAACCCTGGATAAGAGGGAGAATCTATTTTCCAGAGTTTCCACATCGTAAGAGTCAAATGTCCAGTTTTCAGAATGAACAAACAAAAAGGCATACAAAAAAATAGAAAACGACCCATTCAAAGGAACAAAATAAGTTGACACAAAATATACATGAAACTCAGACATTAGACTTACTAGACAAATACTTTAAAACAACTGTCTTTTAGCTGGGCATGGTGGCGCACACCTGTAGTCCCAGCTACTCGGGAGGCTGAGGCAGGAGAATCACTTGAACCCAGGAGGCAGAGGTTGCAGTGAGGCAAGATTGTGTCACGGCACTTCAGCCTGGGCAATAGAGTAAGACCCTATCTCAAAAAAAAAAAAAAAAAAAAAAAGAAAAGAAAAGAAAAGAAAAACTGTCTTAAGGATTCAAAGAGCTCAATGAAGACATAGACAAAGATAAGCGGAAATGGTGCATGAAAATAAGAGTATCAATAGAGAGAAATTTTAAAAAGGAACCAAAAAGAAATCTTGAAGCTGAAAAGTATGATAATTGAAATAAAATATGCACTAGAAAGTTTCCAAAACAGATTTGAGCAAGCAGAGGAACCAGTGAATTTAAAAGTTAAATTTCTACAAACTTAATTAGATTGTTACAACTCTAAGATGTTACATGTAATCCCCATAGTGACCACAAAGAAAATAGCTATAGAGTATACACAAAAAGAAATTAGAAGGGAATAAAAGTTTCACTCTAAGAAATCATCTT